GACCTCAAAGATTAGAGCTGTACTTGCAAACCATTATGAAAGCTCTGTTGAGTTAACTTTTAATGAGGAAGTAAGATTTGGCCTTCTGTTTGCACAAAAACAGAAGATTATTCGCTGCATGAAAACTACTAAGGTATTTGTTAAGGATGTAATTTGAAGGCTCAGCAGTTAGCTCAGCCAAAGCTTACCTTGAAAAAGGTCTGTGAGTACTAGGAGGAAGGTGAAATTGCAAATACTAAGCACTTGCTGCTGTCCCATACCCTGTTTTCCCTCATTGTTCCTTTCTGTTAGACCACTGCTTTGGTTGCTGAGTTCCCAGTCAAACACTGGTGAGCAGACCTACGGGAGGTGTGAGCACATACCAGCAGCCAGGCTGGATGATCGTACAGCACTGGAGTGTTGTCCTGTGGGGTTGGGGGAGTGGGAGGAGTGTTGTTTGGGGTTTTTTTTAAAGGAATCTGTTGCTTCAGTTTGCATCAGACAAACAAAGAATCCCAACAAAGAATCATGACACATTTAACGCGTGATACGTGCTGCTGTACTGGTAGACTACAAGATTTGGTTAGGTAGTTTTAAAAGACCCTGACCTGAAATACATTTTTACGCTCAGGTCAGTAATGTCTTTGTTTATATACAGTGAGGTGCAATGCCTATAGGCACTTTCTTGAACCCAGATATTTGTCTTACTGGAGAATGTAAACACATAATTTAACAATAACTGTTAAATCCAGAATGGTCTGCGTGGCCACCCTGCTCCGTTCTTGGCTTGCCTTTTATAACCTGTTGCTATACAACTCAGTCATCAGAAGGTGCCATCTGAAGGTTGGGATTGTTTTCTTTTTATAAATACGACATAAAGTAAAATTCACTGCTTTCTAGGTGCATCCTGTGAGACTTCATGTAATGCATTAGTAGCTACTCGGTGGGACTGATGATTTTTTAATAACTATTCAGTCAACACTCTCAGAGTTGTAACTATTTATAAACGTAAATAAAGCTGCTTTTGGATGCTTCAGCAGCAGTGGTGACAAACCACTGTGCCGCTTGTGACTAGCTTAGAAGACTGTGACACATTCTCTTGAAACTGAATTATGGAGTAATTCATGCTTCTGCGCTCTCTGAACTTGGTTATTGTAATTCCTTCGTCTAGGCATGAAGCCACACGTCCAAGGGGCCTGGCTAGCTCACAGCGTGGTGGCTGACTGCGTGGTGGCCTGGCAGAATGCTGGCACCCTGCTGCTCTTGGGGTACCCTGACTTCTCCTAAGTGGATTCCTTTGCAAGGTTTCCTCCCCTTCAGAGTCTATCAAGTCTCTCCTTTCTCATCCTGTTTTCCTGGTCGTGATGTTCCACTGAAGTGGGAGGGCTGGGGAGAATAGGGGGCTGTGGCTTCAGTGGTGGCACTGAGAACTAAATTCCTTAACTCCCAGTGAGTTCTCTGCCAGTGGGTAACTGCTTTCCTTTTTTAACGGCTGCACGTCAGTGCCAAACTGGCTTGCAAACTCATGCCATGTTTCATTCGGGGCTGGAGGGAAGATAACATGTAAACAGTTTTCAGGATTTTAAAACATTATGTGAAGGTGAATTCTTCCCAACTGAATGCTGAAAGGCTATTTTGTGTGCAGTCCCATCTCTAAGGTCAGATTTTGCTCTGAGTTTAGAGGGTTAGTTTTGTGGTCTGTCTTACCACACAAACCTAGCAGAGCAAAGACAAATAAATATTTGAGATTAGGACTCTGTGACTAGATGTGAAAGTGGTTTTGTTCTCGTTTGGGTTTTTTTTAGCCTGCTTAGTTTCAACTAGATAGTTGTTTGCAAAATCTTATAAAGCTCGGGTTAGTTTCACGGGCTTTAGCAATACTTCATATTCTTAGCATTTTTTAATACCCTTTGTCTCGCTTTAGAACCACGTATGTGTTTTCAGGCACTACGACCAAGAGTCTTCGTGGCAATGACTGTTGTCAGTATCATGTCTGAAACTCTGCTTCATCCTCTTTACAAATATAAATGAACCCAAAATAACTCCCTGGCTTCTCAAATAAGTAAGGTATATTTGAAGCTCACATACTCGCTAGTATTCCTTTCCTGAAGGTATTAGACTCCACAGGAGCTGGGGATGACTGTAGGAGCAGTTGCAGCCGCTGGTGGGTGGGTTCCTCTTGCAGCTGTTCATTCCAGGAGTCTCATTGTGCTGCCGTCTCTTTTTCTTCATGTTCTTGTGTCTAAGAATGTTCTTGCATGGTATGTACTCCAGCTGTAACTTAATTTTCACCCTAACGTTTTCATAATAGTGTGCTCTCTGCCCAGCATGGGTATTGATAAGCAGCTGCTTGGCTAAGGGTATTTTAGGGTATTAGGGTGGTGGTGGCCAGAAAGTCAGAAATAGCTGACAAGGCTTTCTTGTTTTCTTTGGGAAGGCTGTGCTTTGTAGGCACAAATCACTTGCCAAAGGTATTATTTCAGTGTTACCAACCTTTTTTTAATATTTTTTTTTCTCATAACGTGAATTTTCTGCCTTTTTTGTAGTAGTGAGAATTTTCTTTGAGTGAAAGCACAGATATTCCATATTCAACCAACATGTTAAAAACATACTGGCTAGGTAACAGTTTTAGGCCCATACTAGAAAACTTGGAATTACAGCTTTTCAGCAAATATAGATGTATTCAAAATCTTATTATCTCTAGAGCTTCATGTAACCTGTAGTAGGCTGGATGCAAACTCTACAGAAGAACCTCTGGTTCTGTGGTATTCTGGGCTGGAAGCTCTGTGGTTCCTTCATTCACACCAGTTATTTTTTTACATATACACAGAATAAATTTTAGTTAAACAACATTATTCCCATTTAGATGTACTCAATCACATAGCCCAGTGTTAAATACTTCAGTGTCAGTTTGGGGATATGCTGTTGTTGAGCTATAAACTCACATTTTACAGCAACAGCACAGTAATTATCAGACAATATCCAAAGACTTTGAGGCTTCAGCCCATGGTATAGTTGGGACTTGCCTATGAGGGTGGTGGAAATGTTCTTGGATTGTGAATAAGTTGATATATGAGACTACTTGACAGCTGCACTTTGTGTATGTAAGAGTTGGGTCCTTACCCTAACATCTTCATTAAAGCCATCAGTGAGATCTGTATCAGTATGGCCCACGCTTTATTCTCGTAGGAGTTTGTAGTTTGCATTGCTGCTTATGAATATAGCTGTTTATTTCTCATGAAGTAAGTGTTGCATGTTGCCTACAGGCTGGGAGGATCAGGAAAATAATATTTCTTTGGATTGCACTTGAACCGGGTGCTAGAGGGCTCTTCTAACTGTGAGATGTAGAAGCTTTTGTTTTAATTGCAAATTTATTACAGAAAACAACTTGGCCAAAAGGAGAGGTTCAGTGGAAAAATCTGCAACCAGGCTATACATCCCCGTACTACCCTATGTTTAACAGTATTATTGTGGTTTCAGCAACTGCTTATGTGAAAAAGTGGTATTAGAATAGCATTTAATGTAATATTAGAGGGGATTAACGTAAATTATGAGCTAGAAATAAGAAGGAAACATCATGTTACCCGTCTGCTCTTACCAGACCTCAAGCAAATGCTTTAAAAAACACAGTTTGGTTTTCTGTTCCAGCTCTTCAAATTCCAGTGTGTGATTGTTTCTCAACCAATTTGGATGCTGCTGTACTTTTCCTCTTGGTTTTAAGAGGTCAGAAAAAAGAAGAAACTTTTAAGAATGATCTGAAAAAAAATCAGAGACTTTCATATGAATACTGGTGAATTTGTGATTACAAGTTGGAATCTGCCTAACTCAATTTAGTAAAATCTTTGTCCAAATTTTTTATAATTTTTTCCCTCGGTGAATAGTCTCAAAGACAGATAGTTATTGTTATGTGCCATTTTTGAGCTGTCATTCCAAGTCCGTAACTAATAAAACCATAACAACCACCGAAATAAAAGTTAAGTTGTGTGGATTTGTAGCATTTCAATTGATGAGTAAACCATTCCAGTATATTGGCGTTTGGCCACCTCGCTATGTAATAGTGTTTTTTATGAAGTATTGCCGTAGCAACAGATCTGGATGACATTGGGTAGCTGGTTGCTGCTGACTGTTGGAAATAACACAGACTTTAAGCAACACATGTGTAATGTCTGAAGGTAAAGTAACCCAAAATAAATGCCTGAGCCCTACTAAGAATGTAGCATGGGGCACATCAAGCCAAAGTCTGAGTTACTGACTTATGAATTTAATCCTTCTGTGAAAGTGTGTCTGTACAGTGAAAACAAAACCATGTATGCTAGTAATGTGTGCAACAGTTGAAATCTGAGAATAAAATAAAGGAAAACTGAGAGAAACTGTATTGCAGATGATTTTAAGCATAAAATATCAGTTATTTTAAAGGCGTTAATGACTCTAGTACTATAGGAAACGCTGCTGGATGTGTTATTTCAATGGAAAAGCCTGTTGGGGAAAGAGGATACAGAGAAGATTAAAAACTTTACGTGCTCTCCCGAGGAACTAGCAAGTGAAAAAAGGCTTGAGAACGTAGAAAATGAAATGAATTCAAGTGAAGCCAAAACCTGTTTTTTATTAATGGCTTTTATTTAGAACAGTATTTCTTGGTTACTAAAACATTGAACATTTGTTATATGACACAGCCAATTTAAAAACTAAGCAGAGGATTTAGATCAATCTAGCAAAGTAATATCTTTAGACAGAGACATCTTCAGAAGTCTATCAAAGAAAAGGCAAAACCACTGGGAAAACTTTTTTTTTTCCTTCTCTTTCTCCATTGCAGATGAAGTTTGTAAGTCCACCTTAACGACAGAAAAATACAGTCACCTTTATATATGTTAGCAGGTCACAGCAGAATTTACTCTCTCAGTCGTACAATGTTGTGCCTTCCAAATGAAGTACTACATTAAAGCATACATGAAACACATTTTCAAGACTTAAATAGAATTTTCTGCTGGTCTAATGATCTTTTTTTAAATTTTATTTTAAAGATAAAAATACAGACATTACTGTAAAGGACAATACAGATGATTTCTGCCTTCGAGATACATTAAGCATTGCATCAACAGACTCCTTTGTTTCCACAGCTGAGGTAAGACTCTTAAAGGTTGCTTCTTTAAAGATTCATTAATCTGTTTGAACAGTGAACAGAAGAATCTTAATTTTTTGGTTATTATTGTAAGCCAAGTCTAGTTCTCTTATGGGGGGGAAAAAGAAGCTTTCCTTGCTTAGTTGTAACCAGCTTCCTAGCTAGTTCAAGTAATGAAGTTGGGATCAATTTGCTGATTATTTTTTTTTTTTTTTTTGTGCACTGGCAGGATGTTTCCCCAACTCCTTCTAAAAAGAAGTTGCTTTTGAAAAATAGATTTTCATAAGTGAGGAAGCACAGTCAATTAAGGCTATAGTTAGTAGTTCCTTTCACCATGAAATGTATTTTTCTATTTTCTTTTTCCTTTTCCCTTACAGTAATACAAAGACATATGAAGAAGGCTTTGTCTTTTTTGGAGCTGAGGGGTTTTTTTTGGAGAGGAAATTACTAGAAATTGACAGCTACCTATTTTAGTACATTCCATGCACAATATAATATACTGCATCTAACTTTCCCTAATCATCTTGGATAGGATCACAAAGGATATATAAAGAAATAATCTTTGGATAACAAGCTGAAATCTGCTATGGCTCCCTTGAAGTATTTGAAAGAATTTTATATACAGCAACACGCTTATTTGAACAAGGAATATCTCCTTTTATAGTCTCTCAGGAGCTGAAGTGATCTTGAATAGCACTCTCCTCCAAATTACAGGGAAGGCAATTGGTCTCAATAGATACATTCAGTGTTAGATATTGCTATCATGTATGCAACTACAACTAAGCTACTAAACTCAGACAGTAGTAAAAAGAGAGAGAATTGCATACACGTTCTTTATAATTATCTTTTGACTGTCCGTTGAATGGTTTGTTTTTCCATGACAATTACCTTGATTTAGTAATTCATATTAAACTGCGATTATCTTGATTTAGTAGTTCGCATTAAGTTGTGATGGTAGGCCCAGCATTCATTCCTAAGATTGTGTCTAAAGAGACTGGTTACTCTTTCCTGTAATTTGGGCAAGACCGTAATTCGAGCTTGCTTCAACTCTATCAGCTCTTCTTGTAAATCATTATAGTTTGTACACTTGGGTTTTGTTTTGGTTTTTGGTTGGAGTTTTTTTTTTTTTTTTCATGAACTTTCCTAGTGTTTTTGCAAGTATGTGGAAATGGGAACAATCCATTATGCTCATTTGCATTGCTTGACAACAAACAAACAAACCCCAGGATATATCACCTCAGTGGAATAACCATCCTATCCTGAAGCTAAATTGTCTCAGTATTTGCTAAAGCAATGTTTGAGTCAAAATTTGCAATGGAATTGTCCTTACATATCCTGAAAATATTCTCCACATTTTGACATACCAAAGCCACTTCTGTCAACTCCTCCAGAACAAAGTTACAAAGATTTTTCTCTTTGCCAATAGAACAAGCTCTCTGATCTCCTTTCTCAGATTTTATTGAAGAATCTATTAGAATTCTCAGTTGATAGGAGTCCTGAAGATTAACAAAGCCATAAACAACTTGAAGTTTGGCGTTCAAACCAGAACACCATCAAAATTCTGGGTTAAATATGAGCCACTAGGCTTGAAAATTACAGAGCTGGTTAGCTTTCTAGTAGTAGCTACTGGGGCATCATCGTGTGGTGCAGGTAACATAAAGCTGTCAATTGTTCTTCTCGTATGAATGTAGTGTTACCTTGATGTAGAGTTTTGCCCATCCTCTGGGGAGAAAAATACTTTAAATTAGTGCTACAAATAACTGGGGTGATGAGAAGGAGTAATAACTACTTCTCAGTGTATTTCAGCTATTAGTAGAGAACAATGATTACTTTGATGTAACAGGATTACATTCTTTCTATTCCAGACATCACGATGTCAGGTAGCTTCTTCTTGCTTATCTACTTTTTGCATTTTGTTATTCTTGCACTTGCAAAAAAGTGGAATGTTTCAGGCTGAGAGGTTTGAGGCTTTTCCAGCTTTGGATTTGTCTCAGCTAATGGGCAAATAAGCAGGTTTTTCTTTCATCCTTTGCTCCCTGATTGCAGTTACAATTTTAGTAAGTATCCTAAACTCTATGTGCTCTTTTAGCAAAGTTTTTATGTCTGAAATTCATATAAGTGTATATACTGCTGTGTGATTTTTGCCCTACTGGAATAATAAGTAATTTTACCTTCTGGGGAAATTACAAAGTAGCAGCATTTTTTGTGGTCACATCGTGCTACAAGCTATATGTTGATAGTTACTCATCTTCCTTCAACATTGCATCCTGTCTCAAGGAGCAGGACTAAGTATTTTGTGTGACTCTGGTTTTAGGGACTGGAAGCTATTTCCATATCTCAGTGCTGACACACAGTCAATTCAAATTTAGTTCACTGCCCTCAGGAGAGAGAACAGTAAAGATACAGCGAATCCTAAAACAAGACATAGATGTTCTGATGGAAATTGATAGGGATACTGCTTAGGAGGCAACACGAATTTTGTGCTGTGTTGTATTAGGACAAAACATAGGAAGATGGCTTTCAAGAAAAGAACTGTACAAAACTGGGACAGTTGGCAGGGTTTAAATCACATGCCCTTTCGATGAGCTCTACAGGATAGCAGTAGGATATGCCAAAACTTCATCTTGGCTATGGCTGATAACCAAGAGGATGCAGAGGATCATGCGCTTGATGACTTCTCATCAGAGAATTGTGCCAGTCTGGATGGCTACAATACACAGGTGCCCAAATCCTTATAAAGATGATTTAGACAGACAGTTGCCAGCCCCAAGCCCAGACAGACTTCTATTCCTAAACACACGTAGGCTCTCAAAAGCACTGCAGAAGGGATGGTAAGCATAACCATTTGCCCTAATTAAGTTATTGATACTATATATTGTGATAAATAATGGTATTTTCTTGCCCATTTGAGACTGTTTGCCATCAACTTGTGTTTATGAGACCTAGTACCCTTTTCATATGCTTGCTATCTCACCTACTGTGTGATTGAATTAGCTACCACTGTTGGCAAGTACACAGCAGTGAGTATGCCAGGTAAAGGTCTCCACTCTCCCTTTCCTGGCTTCTTTTCCATCTTTCCAATAGAAGCTCTTTCCTGCTGTCCCTGACAGTGAGCTTTGTCGCTGCCTCTCTGCTGTCAGTGCACATGCATTTATCATGTCTTATTTTCATATCTTGACTAGAACTCAATCTGTAGTTCTAATACCAAGTAAACTTTGGTTTCTTTATTAAAACGTTAACTCAGTCCAAAGCTTAGGAGATTTTTTAGACTTGTGAATAAAGCCTTAGCTGCTCTTTTTTTATTGGTTACTCCTTTACTGAGGTTGTCTTTTCCTCAGTTCAAATCTATTAAAACAAAACAGTGCAGGAAGGAGCAGGCTTTGATAACAGGGAGAGAATACCGGTTTCCGTATGCCTGTAATTATTTGTATATGGTACCAAAACCTTCGAAGTGACTGAAATTGAATTTTGGATTCAGTAATTGCTCAAAAAGAGCCCTGTCACTGAAAGGTAGGGTTACCTTTTTCCTCGTTTCCAGATGGATGTTTTATTCCTTTCCTGAAATAGGGAACACCAGAGGGAATAATGTTGGCAAGTAATAGTAAGGTGTATTCCTAAGTGAGGTGCGTAGTTTGGGGTTTTTTTCCTGTTTCTTCAGAAAAATCGGAGACATGCCCTCCTGTATTCTGACTGCCTTCAGACGTGTGACCATAATTGCTAATCTGACCTTCTCAGTCCTTGCTGTTCTCGTCCTGGTCGCTTCTTCCATGCTCATGTCAGCTGTCCAATTTGATGTGGATTGTTGTCGTACCTCAAAAACAAATGTAGTACAGCAGTCCTGCAGTCTAGCATGCCCTGGGTAGCAAATTGTAAGGACCTCCCTATTCTAACAACTTTAATGAGATATGGAGGTGTCTCATATTCATAGTCTTAAAACATGTGGAGAAAGAGAGGAAAGCATTCATCCCATAAGTCTTTCATTCTGCTAATGGTGATACTGTTTCTTTGAAGAATCTGTACCTGAAGTGCCACTAACCACTGCCTACTACTTTGGGAAAACTCAAAAGATCTCATGGTGTCCAGTGAAGCATGATATCAAGTAATAAAGCTTGTCTATTCATATCGTCATCAGAAGCTTTCCACCTCCCAATAAATGTCGGTGGTTTTGTAGGCAACAGAAAAGTTCTGTTCCACTTTGAGAAACACCTCCCGTTCCTACATCCTTTCTAACAAATTCCTCAAACTTCATGCTTCATTTGTGTTGGTGTTTTGGGGTTGGATTTTTTTCCCATTATTTGTCTTCTGCATCTTAATAGATGTAGCCCCAGTTAAAAAGATTCCATTGTGGGGAAAGGTTTTCAGTGTGGCAGTGGGGTCAACGGGAACCAGATTCCTTTGATTCCCTCCAAGGACAACTGTGGTTGTTTGCTGTATGGCTATGAATAGGAAAACTTAGGCCAACAAGTCATTAAATGGTCCTCTAAAAGCTTTAAAAATAGTAATAAAATAAAAAAATCTGGAGTTGATCCTTGTCCTCTAACAGAAGCCTTAGCTATGTATGGTATTTTCATAGTATATTAAATGTTTTCGCTTCTAGGATAAGGAGGAGTTTTATCTGATAGCCAATGTGTCCCTATACATTGACTGCTCATACTATACAGTTTTTAATTCTTAGGAAATATATGTAACATTTTTAACAAATCCCATATGTTAGCACTGAGCTAATTTTTATATCTTAATACCTCCATGTACATATTATGTAGGCAAAAGCCTATGTACCAGACTCAGCACATAGCCTGGGATTATTCTGCCCGGCAAGGAGTAGTACCACCACTGGTGCACATAACATAGTGAATCCACATCCTTCATTATGCTTAAAATTAATAAAGTTGCAGCAACAATTCAGATAAAATCATGTTCTGAATGTGTGTTCTCCTCGAAAAAAATATATCAGGTGTCTTGTAATATATACAAGTAAGCATAGAAGGAGCTCCTGAAAGTACATGAACTTCCTTCCTGGTTTCTGCCAGATATTAGGAAGGATGCACCACTTTATCATTTTGGTTTATTAAAGTACCTTCTCAGATGTTTTAGTTAGTAATCACCATCACATCTTCCAGCTCTCAAAACATGTTTCACACTCATCCTGCAGCTACTTACGGGTTTTTTTTAAAAAAACCCTTTTAAAAGATAGATACCCAAAGAAAGAGATCAGCATCAGCCTTTTTAATGTAGGATAAGCATAGTTTCTGTGAACGTAAGGAATGCTGACTGTGCCAGTAAATTGACCTTTTTATTAAGGGGAGCAAGCAAGAATTCCTAAAAGGTCTAGCACGGTTTATTTTTGTTGCATCAATGTAGGTGGTTATTTTGGTGGTCAACAAGGTCTTGATGCACAGCTGAGAATTTTTTCTATTTGTTAAGAAACAACGTGTGGGTGGCAGGTAAGATTACTGAGTCTGTTCATTAGACCAGAGCAGTCAGGGAATCCCAGGCTTAAAAACTATTGCAAGTTCCAGAGGTTTGATGCTTTGCAACAGTGGTTTCAGCACATCTTTACTAGCAGATGCAGCCTTAAAGCTGAACTGTCCAGAGAAAACTGATTAGCATCTGAACAAAAGCAATCTGTGTTGTAATCTTCATAGGCTGCTTTGTAGCACTGAGAGTAGAGACTCAAGTTATCGTTACAAGCTTTGGAGTTTTGAAGATGTATGTATTATTTCCACACAGTGAAGTTAGGTGTCCACTGTAGGTCATCGTAAGTGTCCTGTGCAGTGGTCACCAACAATTACCCCATCTTTCTCGAGCCTTGAATGGAGAAATGTGAAGCATTACAAGATCCGATGGCTGCTATAGGGTGATACATCTTTTCAGCTCTTCCTTGTCTGCATTTTCATATTCTCCTTCATGTAACCCTACCTGACACTGAGGACATGGCAGGTATTTAGAGGCTGGCACATCAGGTCCATCATCGCAAGCCTCTGTGTTACTCACAACTACCAGCACTTTTGGTAGCTGTGCGTGGAACACGGTTTCGTTCTTAGTGGTGTGTTAAGAGTTTAAAAATGGCAATGGCTGTGCAAAGAAGTATTCACTACATAGTGGCAAGAAAGGACTCAAGGAGCTTTCCAGAGGCCAATTCACCTGTGATGACAAGATGTGTAGGATGCTGGGGCTTTCTGCTAATTTTGGATAAATGCCAAACCACTGTTGAGGAAAGTTAAGTGGTGCATAGTGGGGTAAAAAGAAGGTACCTGAATACATATCATGAATGCTTGCCAATTCATATGAGGTAGTTATGGCCAACCATCTCATTTAAAACCAACCTTTCTCTCCACCTTTTTCCTCAAAGGTAACAAGTCCTTGGAGACTTCTACAAGAAAGAATTAATTTTCCTTTTGATGTCAGCTTGAGAAGTTCTAATCTAGAAAATGTTGTATGCTCTGCATGTTGTTAAACGTTGTATATGATTTGTCCATTCTTCTAAGAGCTGAACTCTGCTATGTTAGTAATGTGAATGTGTGGAGCATCTTCAACTAATTTTGTTTTGAACCAGGATGTTTGGATAGGCAAGCTTTCGCCTTATTTGATCTCAAAAAGAATGGCCATTACTGAATGTTTGCAAGACTGTTTAAAATATAATACTGTATGTTACATATATGTAATTGCTTATATCTACATATAAAATATTCATATGTAAATATCTTTTTAAATACTAGAAAGCATCAAAAGAAAATCTGTGATGACTCCAGGAGCATTACGATGCAGCTTCAGAGCTTGTCTGGAAAGCACCTTTTCTAGTTAAACTTAGAGGTCGTTTTGGTTTCTTGTTTTCAGTTTGGTTTGTTTTTTCTCCTCTCCTCTTTTTGCATGCTAAGAGAAGTCAGTGATAGAGGAATTTGCACCCCCTGTCCAAATGTTACTGGTTGGGACTAACTTCAATCTATAATCAAAACCATCTTCTCAGTGGAAGAATAGTTACACCCTTCTCTCCTGCTTAGTAGCCGGTTGATTTAACTGCTTTCTTCGTTTGAGCTCAGTAGTACACATTGCAACAGTAACACAGCTATTTCATTTCATCTGCGAGCATGAGAGGAAGTTTAAAAAAAAAAAGGGGGGGGAAGATTCTGCGCTAGTCTGTAACCACAAAGGCTACCATGGGGCATCTTCATGTGCTAAAGATGTTATCATCTCAGGCACCCTAGCAGCAGATGGAGGTTACCTGCATCTAACTGTAGAGATCACATGGGGCCTAATCCAGTCACAGTCAGCCAGTTTGCCTAAATATCTGAAGAAGATGATTTGCCTGAACTTCCCTAGAGAAAACTAATATAATCCCTTTTACTACAGAAATTATGACCTCCAAGAGAGGGGCAGCTGTTTACAAACTGTGTATGTGTTTGCAACCTTATTTCTTCTCATGCTTTGCAAATAAAATAAAGTAAATGGAGTGTTTTATGGCTTCTGTAATAGCTGGATCAGGTAAGAAATAAATTAGTATACTTATTTATGTTCTGTTTTGGTCTTTAATTTGGAAAATATACACGTATTGTTCCACAGTTAATACTCTCTTAACCATAATGTAGAAAAAAACAAATTCCGGAGCAAAGATTTTTCACTTGCTCTTGTTTATACCTGTTCTAACTATTACACTATATATACATGTGTGTATATATATGAGTGTGTGTGTCTCGGTGTGTATTGATTTCTTGTATCTGAAATAAATCAATATGTTCCTGTTTCTTCCAGTTGGTTAAATTATTCCTTCCTATATATTTTCACATACATTTTCAGTTAAAATCTGTGTGGCTTCCTTTGTTTAATAAGAACATAAATTTTCAGGTGGGCTTTTTGAATTAGTGAATCCAAAACACAGTTTGCTGCTATGATTAATATTGTTAAGTTGGAATAAAATCTTTGGTCTTAACAACCGTAAATCTTTTTTAGGAAGTCAGCATATTCTATTCTGTTCTTCCAAGCAAAACAACTGATAAAACAAATACATACTTTTGAAATAGAAATACTTTCAAGCTAGATGAATTCTGAAAGCATACATTACTCATTTAAGTATAACATTTTGTTGACCTTAAAACTTCTCTTCCTTCCCTTATTTTCCCTAGCTGTTGTCTTGCCACTTGAGTCTCAATTAGAGAACTCCATAGAAATCTGTATAGGAATACAGACTTTTTTTTTTTACCTAAACAAATCAATTTAAAATGGAACCTGACAATTTTGTGAAAGGAATTGTATGTATTTGCTTACAGTAAAAGGATACTGGTATGAGTGATTCAAAACATCACTGTACGTCCCAGCAAATATATACCATCTAACAACGTGTGACGCTTGTCAGAACATCAGCTCCGTACTGAAATCTCTGTAACTTATTCAGATGCTTAAATGTTTACGTGGACGAAAATAGGTATTGGCAGGTGCTTATATTCTTCCCTTCAGCAGGCAAGCCTACCTGGCCAAATTGTTGTTGCTGTAATTAGCTCAGCTCAAGTCTGTGGAAAAGACACCCTGGAAGCATAGTTCTTAATGTCTTTATGAAGTCTTGTGCCAGCACTTGCCTGTATGTCCTCAGTGACAGGAAAAAACTTTTCAGCATATGTTTCTTTGAAAATTTTAATGCTTAACAAGCTTAACATAAAGTTATATTTTAATCTGGTTGGGTTTTTTTAATCTTCCTAAGATGTAGGGTAACTATTTTTATATAGTTCAATTACTGTGCAAATTATCTTTTAAAGATGTTTCTAGGCTCTGTTTTTATAGCCTAGAAGCATGGGTTTGTTTCCCTCATGCAGGATATTAAAAAACAAAACAAAACAACCAAATCAAACCCCACCAAAAAAACACCAAAACCGCTTGGAATTAATTTTCTGGTCATTAAACTGAAGCATGTGTAAGCCTCTGATTTTTTTTTTTTTTTATTTTATATTTTTTGGATCATTAATAATATCATGTAATGTTTGTAGTGGAAATTGTAGCTAGCCATTGTTTTGAGGATTAAATCTTGTATCCTGTAAACAGGAGTTCTCTGTATTATTTATGTGCTTTGATTTCTTAATCTGGTTTTGTTTTTTCTTGCTCTAAAAGAGTTCACGTTAATTTATATGACAAACACAGAATTAAAACTGCCGATAATTAAAACCTTTTTGGGAGCCTGTAGTAAAATGCTGGATGCTCATGCTTCATACAGTGTGCTTTGGTAACTAGCAGACATATTTACCAGTGAAACAAAAACAGGGGTGGGAGGATGTTACTATTTCCAGCTTCCTAAAGATTTGCATGATGCAATCATTCTGTACTTTGTGTCCTGACAATTTTTTTTTAACAGCTTTGAGACCCATTAGATTGAACTAGGCAAATTAAAAACTTAACCAGGCAAATTAAAAACAAAACTAAGCTGCCTCCATATTATTAATTAAATTGTTGTAACTCGAAAAGGTAGCTCTCAGATTTTAAAAGTTATGAAGCAACAGTCTTGTTAATAGTGCGGTGTTTCTCTTCTGTTTACTAGTAGTGTTGCCTCTTTGTTTTAAGCAGATGCAGAAAAGGATACATATTTCAGCAGAATATCTGGAAGACTTCTTTAATCTGTTTTATCTTAACAAAAATTATGTTAGCCAGATCTTTAATGAACTTCAAAACCAATTTTTTTTTCAGCTTACAGAGCACAGAGAGATTCGTAATATGTACGGTCTAGATTCCCTTTGCCATTGCCCACTGTATGAGGAAGCTATGCACTTAGCAGAAGAAGGCAAAATATATTCACGAGTGTTAAGGTATTGATTTATGTCTACTTAATTCTTGCTTTTCTTGGAAATAATTAAAGTTAAATATTCTATATAGAACTCATTTTTTTAGAAGATACTTGCACTAGGCATTTTTTCTAGGAATTAGACTTAGTTGACTTGTGCTTCTTTTTTTAATGGTCTTTGAAAACTTTTCTGTTTTGAATAGGACTGAAATGTTTGAATGTCTAGGAGACAGTGACTTCCTTGCTAAGCTTCATTGTATTCGACAAGCTTTTCAGGTAAATAGTAAGGAGAGTGATTTGTCGTCTGTCTTGTTAAGCCTGAAGTACATGGCATTGAAACTATCAATGCACTACCTGGGCAAGCATTTTTATAACATATTCTGTAATTAAATATTTCCTTGTTGCTTTTACATTTCTATAATTCTAAAATGGGATGTATTTGCAGAGGAGTCCCAGTTTTGTGATTAGCTTTGGAACCTTTGCTCCAAAGGCTTATTAGGAACTTGCCTACTATAGTAGTGATTATAATGATATTAAATTTGATTGAAGTATTTAAGGTCACTTAGTATAACCTGTGAATGAGCATGTCTATATTTTCTGAAACCTTTTCTAGATAATTCTTTCAGAAACAGCAAACAGAATATTTCTTGCTGAAAGCGGAAGAAAAATTTTGTCTGCTTTAATTGTGAGAGCACGAAAGGTAAAAGCCTTTTCTAACTAATGTTTTATTGTTAATGTAACTTCTACCAGAATTCGCTTTCCTGTGTAAATAAGCCATATCTCTTGTTCAGCTTGCTTGATACTCATTGCTTTTACTTTACAGAATCCAAAGAAATTTGAAGATGTCTTTGATGAAATGATACATTTTTTGGAACAAACAGATCACTGGGATAATACTGAAATGGAACTTGCTGCTAGAGGAGTGAGTCTGAATTCTGAAAAGTGCTTTTACCCTTAATTAGACAAACCATAGCGTCTAAAAATAAATTTTTACAGTTCAGAATTGTGGGAAAGGCAGTTATTTTTTGTTTACGTTGCTGATTTAGGGAAATGGCATCCACCACTGCAGTTTCATACCAGAAAGCACGTAACATTTTTTTAACTTCTTCTTTACTGACAAAGTATCTTTAATATTCATTAAAACCAATTATGAATCTGCTTGTTAATACAAAGTTAGAATATGGTGCATGCTAAAATTCACTGCTGAAAGAGAAACTAGGTTACTTAGATCATGTTCTGATTTAATATAGGTGAAAAACCTGAATTTTTATGATGTTGTTCTGGACTTCATATTAATGGATTCATTTGAAGATTTAGAAAATCCACCAATATCTATACAGAATGTAGTAAATAACCGCTGGCTAAATTCCTCTTTTAAAGAAACAGTAAGTATTTGTGTGTACATTACAATAAGTAGACGGTATGACCAATATAACATTGGTGTGAGCATTCTGATATAAAATTTCTCTCTTTGCTGAAACTGTTCTTCCAGCGATCTGTGCTTTATATTCTTAAAGCACAATGTAAAAGTGAGAATAAATCCAACAACTGCAGCATAAAGACTGTGTATATTGTCTTGATAATAGCAGTAGTTTTGAAGCGAAGAAACTACACCATCCTTCACTGTAAAGTCTAATTCAGCTTCCAATGTAACTGAATATGCACCTGGAATAGTCCTCAGAAAAAATAAACAGATTGCTTTATTGGGTTTTTCATAATAGCAATTTAAAAGCTACAAGTCTGGGCCCAAAATAGCTGGAATGGTTGAATATATTGGAGAAAATACTTTAACTTGCCCTGCAAAAAGGAGTTTTGTCTGAGGAAGTAGAATTTTAGAAGGGAAGTTTGTTAGCCCCATCTTAGATATTAGATGCAGGTTTTGGTTCATATACCAGAGATTTAGCAATAAGGCACGAAGTTGCAAGCAAACAGAAGTAAATTAATACAATACAGGCATTCAAATGTTGATAACATTTCACGCTTTTTCAGACGTGCCTGTTTATTTGTCACTAGATCTCATCCCTCTGCTACAGACGTACAGGCTACTGCCATGGTCAGCTGGTAGTGATACCACTGTCGTTTCATCCGTTTATATCTATAAACTGCCAGTTTTCCTTTTATTTTTGTCTTTCAATTGAAATATTCCCTCTAGAAGAAAAAAAAAAAGGTAACATGCACATATTTATTTTTGCAGTTACGTGATATCATTGTGTTTTGTGAGTAGTAAATTATCTTGCGGTACTGAAGGAGAATCAGATGAGGGTAGTTAGAAGCTATGAAGGGAACAAGCCGAGTACCGATATCGGTATATTGTATTTCACAGGTCCATATTTGGACAAAACTCCTTAGCTGAATCTGAAGCTATTGCAAGAATGTTTTTGCTGAAATGAAAAAGGACATTTTGATGTGTTCACGTGCTATTTAATATCCAAAATAGTTACTTACATCTGAGCACACACTTTGGTATATAACAGACTGGTCCTCGGTTAAACCCAGTGAATGTTGCTAACTGTTGCAACTGTAAAATCAGGTCGAAGATGCCAAATTACATTTGAATTAAACTGAGAAAATGGTACAAAGTAAGATCTGAAAATAACAAGTATGAACTACATATAAAATGAGTTATTTTTATCAGCTGATATTTTATGGTTTTAAACTTTGTTTTATCACAAGATTGAAACTGAAGAAAATACAAATCCCCAAAATACAGAAGTACAGTATTCTGCAGATCACTTCTTTTGAGATGAAAGATAATTTCTTTTATAATAAAGTCATGCAGTGTTTTGGGCTTGCTTTTTTTTTTTTTTACACTTAGGCTGTGGCTTCAAGCTGTTGGTCAGTACTGAAGCAAAAAAGACAGCAAATGAAGGTAAGTTGCCTTGCAAATTATGTGGACCAAAGTTACTGATTGGCTCCTAAGAATTTAAAGTTCTGTCCTGTAGCTTTGGCAAAATAAATTACAGATCAACCCTTAATCCTGTGGACGTGTTAGTTTAGACAAGAGGCTGCCAGTTGTATAGGTTTAGCTCGTGGGGCCCCAATACCATTTTTTTAGCAAAAAGTCTTAGCTAAAAGATTTTTAGCCTAGTTTAGGTCCCATCAACCATGGTGACGGTAATTTCTCTGACTTATGGCCCCACACATGAACCCTGGATTTTTGCAGACCAAGGTCATTAATCTTGTACCTCGCCTGTTTATGCTAGGATTCTCAACCCCATCTCCCTGCATCATCTCCACAGCTAAGTAAAATTCAGTCCTGTCTCTTTACCTGCCTGAAGTACCACCTTCCTCACCCGTGGCAGGAACACCATTGCAGCCTCCTTCAGCCCCCTTCTGCATCCTGAGCTCTCTGTAGCTTTTGAAATAGAACTCTTCTGCACCAGCAGCTCCTTATTTCCACCTTTGGAGGCTTTTATTAGTCCTAGGAGGCAAACGCCCCATCTCTGTAATGGCCAGTTCAAAAGCAGAGTTGAGGCTTTGGAGGACATGCATAGCCATTAGAAGTGGTTTTGCAGACTGCAGGTGAGGAATCTCTGCTCACATGATCGGCACTGACACCCTTCTCTGATTCTAAGAATGGCTATTTACGTGACTCCTAACTGCTAAAGACATATTTCATCGTAAAAAAAAAAAAAAAAAAAAAAAAAAAAAAAGTTGCTTCCAATGGCAGTCTGTATTTTGTAAAAGGTCCTCAGCTACCTTTATGTCTTAAGATTTGAGACATTACATCCCTGTGTCAATATGATCGGGAATTTCATATAAATAGATCTTTTCTACACTAGTTTTAGATAAAGGGATTATATCTCCAAAATAGATGTTATATAACCTATTATTTTCATCTCTATTTCAATGTACAGCTACCTTACTCTGTAGGTCCTTTGTATACTGAAGTCTCAATATTTATAAGTTTGTAATTGTCTGAGTAACTTTACTCCTTGGGAGTAGTTTTGCCAGTGCTGCTGGAGTCATTCAGAAGCGGATAAAGCTAAGCACCGTGGAAGTCTGTGTAAGGGAGAGACTAACTGTACCACAAGGAGTTTGATGAACTTAAAATTTACTTATGGACAGTTCTTTAGGTGGTATTTTATTTTTTAATTTATTATTAATTTTTATAAATTGACTTCTGTTGTAAAATTTTAAATATATGTGTATTAGTATATAAAATAAACTGTACATCCATATATGGTATATATCTTTATACTATATTATATTTTATGAGTGCCTGTAGGTTATAAAAGTAACAAGAGGATGGACAGTCATAGATATTTTGTTTTTTAGACTTAAAGATGGATTCTTGTAAGGTGTAATTTTTTTTCCATTGAAAGCTGTGCAGTTTGCTTGCTTCTTTGCAAGTTGCAGCTATACATAGAGTAGAGGGGCTCAAACAGGAATAAATGAATAAAATTATCTGACCTGTCATATGGGAGTCGGAGTCGATTGTTCATGGTCTTTTGGGGCTTATGCCTATTAATTTTTAAAATATTTTAAAAATCCAAAGTACCACTGAAGAAAAAACCTTTTCTAAAAAAAATTCATGACACTTGTTTGGTACAGTTGCCCTATAACTTGAAGGAGTTCAGGTTACCACAGCCCTGAAGTAGCAGGTGGCTTAGGCTTTTCTGAAGACTTAATTTTACATAATGGAGATTTATACTAAATTTACTGTGTAACTTTTGTCTACAATTTTTACATCACTAGGTGCCTGATGGATTTTTTGCACATTTCTATGCTATATGTGAACATATCAGCCCTGTTTTGGCGTGGGGCTTTTTGGGCCCTAGAAATTCCCTTTATGACCTATGCTGCTTCTTCAAGGTTTGCAACTTTTTTTTAATTACCACTTACCTTAATTTAAAAAACAAATCTTCCAGATTAAAATAAATGAAGATCTTATTTATAGGCATACATTTGCATTTCCTAAGATTAAGACTAACAGTAAGAAACCGTGAAAAAAATATTTTCATATTAAAATTTTTTTTAAGCCTAGAGCTGTTTTGCAAAATCTATTTTAGTGCACTTCTATCTTAGCACCAAAAGAATACATAAGTGGATGTTTTTCAGAAATGTGTAAATGAAATAGCTAGCAGCGCATGCTTTTTTTTCTTCTTGTAAGTCAATACAAGTTTTTTCCTCTTCCCTCCCCCATCCCCCCATCCCCCCTCACTAGGATCAAGTGCTTTTCTTCCTCAAAGACATTTTTGATTTTGAAAAGGTGAGATACTCAACTATGGAGAGCTTGGCTGAAGATCTTATGCAATTATTAATCCGACACACCGAACTTTTAATGGCCTATCTTGGAGCAGATTCACTAAGACATGTCGGTGCTTGCGTAAGTGGTCATGGGCATGTCATGACCAGTGGGCTCGTAGAAGCAAAAGTACAGTCAGCTTAAAATCCATGAGAAATGATCTGGAGTGCACATTGACGTACTCCTTCCCACCTTTCTCTCCAACGCCGAAGCTATCATTGCTGTTACTGAGCAAGCATCTCAAAATGTATCATCTTGCTAAGTGTGGAAAAGGACTCAGGGAGGTTAAATGTACATCTGCAAAAAGAACTGGTGAGCATATTATTGTATATACCTAAATTAAATTTGCAGCTCAGCTGTCACTGTATTTATACTTAGTGTATCCCAAAGCTGTTTTCTGTAATATTTGGGTAAAGTTTATTTATGAAATACTGTACTTTTGCACAGATGATTTGTAAGTGAAGCTGATGGAGTTGTTTCCTTTAAAGGCTTATAGTACAAAATGTTCATTACAGAGTCTCCAAATCATCATGTCTAGATCTAGAAGGTGTTTTGACTGGGGTATATGCAGTCTCTGGTTCGTGCGACACGTGCAAAAAAGTAATCGCACTCACAAAATTGAACATTTTGGTTGCCGCTGCCCTGAAATGACATTTGTGGGGGTGTAAGCAGTCATTTTGTGCTACGGTGAAATA